GAGGACCAGAAGAGTGAAGGAGTTCCAATTTATTCATCAGTGTAAACGCATTCAAATTTTTTTATGGTGATGTTTCTGTGAGCACTGAGGCGGCACAACCTGCATGTATACAACACTTTGAGACGGTGATGGTTTTGCAAGCATGAGAGAAATTCTTTGGAATTGTCAAGGTGATGTAAAACCACATTCACTGTTTTAATTATAACTGCACGAACTTGTTTATATGGACATTGTGTTTTTTACATGTACTGTATATACTATGATTTATGCGTATTATGATGCACATTTGATTATTTCATTTAACATTTTTTGAATATTTTATGTTTCACATTAGCAGTGCAGCATTAAGTTAATTGGTTTATGATTATGTTGTGGGAACACAATTTGTGATGCTACCAACAGCTCACTAAACATCATTTGACATTTCAACTACGCTGTTACACTGAAGTTAGTGCATGAGTATTTCTTACTGTATGTAGCTGCCACACAAGCCATTATATTAATCTTATAGTACAGGACACAAGTTGTGTATTCAAAGACCCTGGATATAGACTCAGGATTCTTCAATCAACTCTGCTTTTGAATCTTCATGGTCTTCTAGTACAACAATAGAAGCAGTGCTGCTGGGCCAGTGCAACTTAGGTAAAACCTTGGAAGCCATACCTGGACCACAGTAGAAGAGGGAGGCATAGAAGGAATGGATGAGGACCAGAGGCAGTGTTAGAGAAGGTTGCAGAAAATTTCTCACCTCCAGATTTACGAGGGGCGTTCAAGTCAATCCGGGGCTTTTAATTTTACAAGTATAAAAATGGTTGCTACCTTGGCTGTACTACATGTGGCAAGTGTGTCCTACTACTGATAGGCGGTGCACATGTCACAGGCCAGTCCAGAAATAGTTCATCAAGATGGCAGGCAACAGTGTTACTGGGTGCATGGAACAGCATGTGGTGATAATGTTTCTTGTGAACAAAGGCGTAAAACCTGCGGATATCTACAGTAGACCTCAAGCATAGAATGGTCATGAGACACTCAGCCATAGTAAGACATTTGAATGGTGTAAACGTTTCTAAGATCGCCGTACGTGACCATGGTGGTTCCCAGCCCACAGTAGTCATTTCTGTGAACATTCAGTGAGTGAATCGCCTAATCCTGGACAATTGATGCATAACCTGCCGTGAAATCGGACAAGAGACAAATCTTTCCACGGGAACGGTGAACACAATCATTCATGAATGTCCTAGGGTGGTTCAGGCGTACTGACAAATCTTTCTATGCCAACACTTTACAGGCATTAGTTAAATGCTATGCCAAGTGTATAAATGTAGGGGGGGGGGGGGGGGGAGTATGTAAAAAAAAATGCAGTTTCCACTCCTTGAAGTTCGTTCTTTTACTATATAAACGCAAAAGTCCTGGTTTGACTTCAATGCCTCTTGTATATATACCTAAAGTTGCAGCTTCATGTAATATGCTTGCCAATGTGGGTATGCTCACTTTTGTTGTGCACAGAAGCCTCGGCATTGTTGCCCCTGGTTCTCCCCCTGTCTTTTCATATCCATTTGGGTACAAATGGACCTGTGGAATCTAAAAAGACTTTCCCTGTTCATGAACAGATAGAGTGGGCAATTAATGATGATTTCATTCAGAAAAGGTTTTTTGCTCCTCCGAAAATCATTGCTGAGTTTCATCCAGTGGAAAAAGAGTTCACAATAAAGTGGTCTGTTCCGGTAGTTGATCCTACCGTCTTAGTCTATAACAACCATCTCATCGTGCTAATTGAAGATGTTCCTTCAGTCAAAAATTTTGCAGATAGGAAATTTAAGAAGCTATTAAAGGCTTTTATGCAATTTTGGTTAATTGGACTAGGGCAATGAAAAACAACATGATACTGTATTCCAGGACAGTGCCTTAACTAAGCAATCACCACAATTGATTTCTGCTCTGTTTTTTTTTTTTTTCTAGTGTGGGTGTCCTAGAACAAGTAACGGCACAACTTTTTAAAATGATTCTAATCCTTATTCACATGTGCATTCAAATATTGCAGAGGAAGGAAGGTTCTTTTCTCACAGCGATAGAAAAAAACTTCCCAGGAGCTTCTAACTCTTTAAGATACAGATGCAGAACATCTCGCATCTCTACCCAGGCTTCAATTTCCAAACCTAAGCCCAGCCTTTCTTTCTGCGTAAGTCTTCCCCAAAGCCTTATTCCTGATTAAAGGGCACCGTCACAAAAGTGTGTGGGTGTGGGGGTCTGTTACTGTTTTCTTCTGTCTGGGTCTCAAATCTCAGGTGTAATCAGTGGTTTCAAGCGGGTACAAAATAGAGTTCAAAATTCTACCCCCTCACCGCTTTCTTCTCTTACATCAACCAAAATCTGCCCAGGAACAGTCGGACTTGCAGAATGCCCTGGACTATCTCTTGTCCCAGGGAGTAGTGGTGCCAGGACCCCTACAGGACAGGTTCAAAAGATTCTTTTCAAACCTGTTCATGGTACCAAACCCCAGTGGGTGTATTCGTCCTATCCTGGACCTAAAATCCCTCAACAAATACCTTTTTAAATTCTAAAATTTCACATGAATTTCATAAGGTCAGTTATTGCCTTTCTGAGACAAGGGGAATATTTGGCAGCTGTAGACATTCAATATGTATATCTGCATATTCTCATTTATCCACCTCAACAGCACTTTCTACGCTTTACAGTAGGAGACAATCACTTTCAGTTTGGCTCACTGCCATTTGGCATATCCTCTGCTCCCATAGTATTCACAAAGGAATTTGCACCTCTCTTGCTCTTCTAAGAACTTAGGGCATCCAGATCACAGGTTATCTAGAAAAACCTTCTCCTGAAGAATTAATCTCCCTTTCAGCTATTTGCAAACATACACAGGGAAATTTAGATGCTATAGGCTTTTGGTTGGGTGATCAAGATCTGTTCTCCAACCTTCTCTTCACCTGGAATACTTGGATCTGATCCTAGACACATCCCAAGCAATAGTATTGCTTCCAGAGAAGAAACTGTTCTCTCTCACAGCGTACGCTCAAGACTTGATGTCAGAAAAAAATTCCCTTAATGAGATTCTTCACAAGAATTATAAGTCTCATTGCAGCCTCTTTTGAGACCATTTGCTCAATTTAATTTGAGACCTCTCTAAAACAACATGATCCTTCTCTTGACCATCCACACTTCTGTCCAGCCAAGCACATAATTCCCTTGGTGGATCTCCAGCACAGCCTTGATTAATTCTTTCCTTCCTTATCACCGGAAAGTGATAATGAGAGTTGCCAGTCCTTAAGCTTGGAGAAGAGCATTCCAGTCCCTCACAGTTTAGGGAACATGGTCATCGTAAGTAGCCAAGCTACTTATTAACATCCTGGAGCTGAAAGCAATAAGGATGATTCTGCAAAGCTGGACCTCCAGGGCACCCAATCAGGATGCAACCAGACAACACTACAGATGTGGTCTACATCAACCACCAAGGGGGCATCAGCAGTCATGCAACCTTGAAGAAAACTAGCTGGATCTTCTCATAAGCAGAGACTCACTCTCCAGCAATATCTATGCTTTCCTCATTACAGGAGTGGAAAACTTGAAGGCAGATTACCTCCTGAACAAAGGGTAATACCACTTCCAGAAGGATCTAATATCCTACCTACCACCCATCCCCTTTTTTTCCCTTTTGAACACAGACAATTCAGCCCCAGAGATTACACTGTGCCTTGCATTCTGCTCTTCCTAAAATTAAACAGAACCTGGCTTTATGCACTCCGAAAGGATAGGTTTTGGCCTTGTCCATTCTTTTTCCTAAACCTCTGGCCTCACTCACCCTTGTCCAAAACGTTATCCCAGTTGTATCTTGGATCAGGCCTTCTTTTGAAGCACCCTGTGCTTCCTTGGGTCCTCGACTTGGTTATTTCTGCCTCGTAGAAACTTCCCATTAAACCTATCGGTAATATCCCCTTTAGACAACCTCTCCTACAAAGTGGCCTTCTTGTTTGCTCTCACATCTGTCAGACAAGTCTCAGAGCTGGCAGCTCTCTCTTGCCATTCCTTATTCTTCACAAAGACCAGGTAGTTTTAGGCCCAGAATTATCTTTTCTTCCTAAGGTTGTATCATTCTTCTACCTCAACGAAGACATAGCCCTTCCATCTTTGTGCCTTACTCCAAAACTCCCCAAGAAAAATGCTTTTCATTGTCTGGATGCAGTTAGAGTCTACCTTAAAGCAACAGCTTCTACCAGAAAGACAGACTCCCTGTTCATCCTACCCTCCGGACCTTGCAAGAGACATCCTGCTTTAATGCCAGAGCTTACAAGTTTAAGGACAAAACTACTTTTCCGTTTTATGCACTCACTCCACCAGGTCAACAGTTGTTACCTAGGCATTCAATTACCAAATTTCTATAGCTTAAATTTTTAAGGCCACCACCTTGTCCTCCTGATAATACTTTTTCAAAATACTATCAGGTGCACGTTAAATCATCTGTGTATACAACTTTTGGCCACAGAGTTGTTGCAACAGCACTCTGAAGTTGGGTCTGTTAACCACTTGTCCTCCTGGGAATTTACTACCCCCCTTCCTGACCAGGCCATTTTTTGCATTACAGCACTGCGTTACTTTAACTGACAATTGCACGGTCATGCAACACTGCACCCAAATTAAATGTACATCCTTTTTCTCCAAGAATTGAGCTTTCTTTCAGTGGTATTTGATTGCTTGTGCGTTTTTAATTTTTTTGCGCTATAAAAAAAAAAGACCGACAATTTTGAGAAAAAAAAACAATATTTTTTACTTTTTGCTATTAAACATGTCCAGTAAAAACATTAAAAAAATCAAATTTCATCATAAATTTAGGCCAAAATGTATTCTGCTACACGTCTTTGCTAAAACAAATCCCAATACGAGTAAATTTAATGGTTTACGTGAAAGTTTTAGCATTTACAAATGGAGATATAGATACTGGAATTTTTTTTTTCTTTTTAATTTTTACTAGTAAGGGCGGCGATCAGCGACTTATAGCGGGACTGCGGCGGGCATTCTGACACTGCTGGGAATTGACTTGGTGTCACTGACATCCCCAGTGACACTAATACAGTGATCAGTGCTAAAAAAAACATTGACACTGTACTAATGGCATGGGGCAGGAAGGGGTTAACATGAGGGCTGATCAAAGGGTTAACTGTGTGCTGGGAGTGTTTTACTAGGGGGTAGTGTCTATGTGGCTCACTGTAAGCACACTGCTTTGAATGGCTGTGCTGTGCACAGCCACCCAAAGCAGTGTGCCGGAGCTGACAGGGAGGAGAACTGTTCGTAAACAAAACAGTTTGCATCCCCTTCAGAGATCGTCGGAAATCACCAAGCGCTGGCAAGTAATCACCAACTGGGACCCGGTGATTGACAGCCATGGGTGCGAATGGTGGCGCGCCCCCTACCCGGAAATGCAAAATCACATATATATATATACACGTGATTTTACACACCTGTGCCGCCCTGTAGCAGTATTTCTGGGGAAGCGGTTTACCCTTGTTGTTTTTGGGCCTATTGGCACAGTTCTTTTTGCCTGATTGCTGCCCATTCTTCTCAATCATTGTTTGGTGACATCTCAGGGTCTATGAATGTTCAGCCTGTGTACTATACTATATTATTAAAATAAGAGGAATTTTTACTTGCATGTAAACTCCATATAATAGGAGTACACCCTGCCTTCTATTAATGAATTAGTCAGAATCGCTTGCCACAAAAACTGAGGACTTACAGAGGGGAGTAAGTGCTTTTACCATAGTGAGTTTTTGACCTTTGGTGATCTACAGGCCATATGTCTGCAGAGGTGCTGGGATTGTCTTACTGCAAAAACAAGAACAGTGTGTGTGTAATTTAAATCCTTCTACTTAGTATTCAATTTGAGAAAGTTCCTGCAATGGCCGACCTTGGAATCTACAAAACACAAACAGATAAGAATTGGGAAATACAGTATTTCTGCTAAAATCTCACCATTTCTGTCAGTGGTCAGGAGAGAACTGTATTTTCCTGTGTAAAGACATGATCTAGCTACCACTGTTTCTTTGTTGTAAAACTTATTAAAATTCCTGTAAAAGGAAGACATGACCTAACAAAAAGGCACTCAAGTGCATGCATTAACAAAATAAAAAATGGCTCTATTATACTATAAAAATGTGTTATAAATGCTTTTTGTTTTTTAAAGATTTTTACCAGTGGTCACATGACTGCACCTGCACTGTGAGCACCCTAGTGAGGGGTATGGTTAAATCTGCATGGTTTGGCGAGGGTTGTTAACGTCACCATTGGCTCTAGGACAACGGAACTGCATGCATGCCGTGCTTCAACTTAGCATCCTGTAGTTCCACTGTGTTGTTGGAGACGGTGGACATGCTTCAGGAGTAAGTCATAGACGAGACATATTAGATGAGACTTTTAGAGATCACAGTTATAACAGGGCAATAGGAAACATATTAGTGTCTTCAGGGGCCCCAAAGTCCACACATTAAGTGCCAAAGGGCTGCAAGCTGGGCACCAAAACTGTAGTTTTCCAGGTGCATGAGCAAGCACACCATGGGATTCACAATCTAGGGATAGCTTTGTCATTTGAGCCTGAAAGGGCAAGTAACTGGTAGGATCACCAAATATTTGTAAACATTTTTCAAATATAATTAATCACATATAAGGCATAGGAAACTGAAGAGTCGATAAGTAGACAAATAAGACATTTAATTTTAAAGCCAAACTCTGGGAAAACTAAAAGTCCTTGTTTGTAGTGGGGCTGTGCAGGTTCCAGTTTCAGGGTCAGCATTAAAGTGGTTGTAAAGCACATTTTCCCTCAAATAAAAGGGAAAAGGGGGGGTATAATTACCTGCTCTGTGCAATGGTATTACACAGAGCAGTTTCTTACTTTTTCCCCTCGGTCCCTCACCGGTGCTCTCCACTCCTCTTCTAAGAGTGCCACCATAGCAAGTCAGCTGCTATGGGGCACCCATATGGACACATTCCCAAGCCAGGCTGTGTGTATTCAAAGACACGCACACAGTGTGGCTCATTCCCCCCCCCCCCCCCCCCATGGGATTTGCCATTGGCTCCCACTGCTACCTCTGTGTCCTGTGGGAAAAGGAAGAGGGGAGAGTGCTGCTGCAGATGGGCACAGTGCTGCTGGATCAAGATAGGACTCATAAATGTGCATAAATGTTTAGGGAGGTGGGGGGCACACAGGAAGGGTACAACACAAATACTGGGACATTTTATAACTTAATGCAGGGTAAAAAATGTCTTGACTTTAGAACTACTTTCAGGTTCACATACTGTACACTTTAACCGCTTCCCGACTGCTCTATAGCAGAAGTACTGCTACAGGGAGGCAGGGATGCACAAAATCATGTATATATATACACGTGATATTGTGTTTTGGGGTAGGGGGCATGTGCACTCCCTACCTGCGCTGCTATTGGCTCCTCAGCATTTCAGTCACTGGGTCCCGACTGCCTATACAGATCTCTCCCCTGTCAGCACGAACAGGCTGCTTTGTATTCCTCTGCACAGCAATACAAAGCAGCTTGTTTCTCTAGTAAAACACACACAGCACACTTAGTAAAGCAGCACACAGTTAACCCTTTGATCACCACAGATGTTAACCCCTTCCTACCCAGTGTCATTAGTACAGTGTCAGTGCTTTTTATTAGCACTGATCACTATATTAGTGTCACTGGGGAATTCCGGGGCCGTTAGTCAGTCCCCCCCCTGTGTCAGAATGCCCACCGCAATTCCACAATAAGCCTCTGATTGCCACTATTATTAGTAAAAAAAAAAAAAAAAATTCCAGTATATATACTGCTGTTTGTAGATGAAATAACTTCCATGTAAACCAATTAATTTACATGTATTGGGATTTTTCATTTCAGCAAAGACATAGCAGAATATATTTTGGCCCAAATTTATGACAAAATTTGATTTTTTTTTTAAATTTTTTTATTGGATATGTTTAATAGCGAAAAAGTCACAAAATATTGTTTTTTTTTTTTTAATAATTTGTTGGTAGTTTTTGTTTATAGCACAAAAAATAAAAAGCGCACAGGCGATCAAATACCACCAAAAGAAAGCTCTATTTGTGGGAAAAAAGGACATAAATTTAACTTATGTACAATGTTGCATGACCACACAATTGTCAGTTAAAGTAACGCAGCACCGTATCACAAAAAATGGCCTGTTCAGGAAGGGGGGTAAATCCTCTGGAGGACAAGTGGTTAACAAAAGTGAAGCTTAACTTTAAACTGTGATTGTGTAGGAACTTTGGTGTCCGTTTATGAACCAGCAGTAATAGATCGCTGCTCAGTTCTCCGGCATTCTCGGAGAACACAGTTCTCCTGTGAATGCAGTTTATGAAGCGGTGTAGATCAGTTCTCCAAACGAAGGGAGAACGGTCTACAAACGCTGGAAAACAGCTGATTTTACTATAATCTCGCGAGATTTCAGTAAAAGATCAGTTTACTAAACAGAGGTAAATTATCTCTGCTTCGTTTGCAGTCCCTCTGATTCTCCAGCTCTGGGCTGGAGAATCTGGAGGAAGAACACAGATCTCCAGTGAAAGGCTGAACATGTTCTCCGCTGATCTCCTGAGTGTCATAAACTGTGAATGACCAGAGAATAGCTGCGATCCTCTGAATCGCAGCTATTCTCTGTGTCATAAACGGACACCATAGTGAGAGAAGGGTTTCCTGAAGATGCGGCTTATATATTTTCCACTAGATGGCACTTGTATATCTTACAAGAAATGATCCATGTAATGTTTATTTAGTAACTTGGATCTAAGAATCCCAGTGTCAGTTGTATCACATCTTTGCATGGGTAATAGATATGATCCCCCTTATTTTCCTTTCCATTGCTATATGCAATGAGTACATATATGTTCTTTTTTTTTTTTTTTTTTAAGTACTGCTGATCTATATGCAACAAAGAGGATCTTAACTCAAGTTATTTGAAACCTAAGGTCACTGACTGATTGACAAATAAGACTAGTTCCTCTTTACAAACAAGAGTCAAACGCAAACAGACAGTTCCTTTGAGTTTATTAAAGAGTGTTGTAAAAACTGATTAGAAATATGTCTCCTGTCCATACGTACAACAAAAATCTGTAAAGAGGTTCTTCATTCCCCCTTCCAAAAATAATTTGAAGTCAGATCTAAAATCAGCAGCTACAAATACTTTTTCTTATCATCATTATGGCAGTATTTCTTAATGAATTTGTTGCAGCCTTAGCACCAGAGCGTAAAAGTGTCACACATTAGATTTACATTTTTGCAAGAGTCGGAAATAGCAAGAAAACTGCCATGAATTTATGAACCAGACTTCCTAATACAGATTAAATGCCACAAAAGTGTTGAAAATGCTTAAATGATTCACCTTCGGTGTATTTTATCGTTTATGTTATTGTGGAAGAAAGAAAATCTGCAGTGAAATATCAGAGGAATGATGTTCCATTTGACACTGCCATCTTGCAGTTAAATCTTGCCACATTTACATAGGATGTGAACCATAGTGACAGGATTATCTTTTTTCATATGGGGGAGATCTACTAAAACTGTAAAGTGTAAAATCTGGTGCAGCTGTGAATAGAAACCAATCGGCTTCCAGGTTTTACCCTTCGGTCACATCAAGCCCGACTTTGAAATTGTGCGACTTACAGTGAAGTCGCATGATTTCAAAGCCGGTTGAGATGCCGATTTCAGGTGCGATTTGCAAGATATCTGACACAGATGTCTATGCAAATCGCAGCAAAAGTAGTGCGTGTACTGCTTTAGAAATCAGCGCAGTTCCAACACAGTCGGAACGGCACGGATTTGACCGCTGTAATTGCGGACAATAGGGTGCGACTTGGCATACGATTTGCAAATCGCATGCCAAGTCGCACCCGACATGACCAGGATGTAAGGCTGGCCATACACTATACAATTTTCTGTCCAATTTCCTTTAGATTTACCTTCTACTATGTAGTGCAAGAGCCTGCCTAATTGGATACAATTGAAAGTGCTGTTAGGTTTGACCTCCTATTATATGGTTTTTGGTAAATCTAAACCACAAATCTCAAGAAAATTGTATAATGTATGGTCAGCCTTGTTGTCAAAGCTTAATTGGACAAGCTGACCTTTGAGGCTGATTGGCTACCATGCACAGCTGCACCAGATTGCTCCAGTTTCAGTAAGGCTCCGTTCACACCAATGCGTTTTTTTTGTGCTTTTTGCAGAAACGCACTACAGTCCATTTAACATTGTTTCCTATGGAACATGTTCACATCTATGCTTTTTTGAGCAGCTGCATTTTTGGAAAAGGTCAAGGAATTTTTTAAAAGCAGAAAGCAGTGTTTTTTGCTGCAATGGAGTTTAATGAAGAATCTGCTGAAATGCATGATAGTGCATTTTTGCC